GATATGAATTTATTATTTGCTTCATGTTTTCTATCACTACATTGACTAATACCACCCCGAATTCCCTTTTTGAAAAAATTCAACATATCTATGTCTGTTAATAACTCCAGTTCTACTTTGGTATATCTCAACATAGCATCCCATGAGAGACCCGGTGATGTGAAATACTGAGCAGGATCTAACTTATATGTATCGATACAAATATCACGAAAATTTTCGAATATGTCGCATAAAAGTAAAACATCTGATTTCAAGTAAATATCTGAATAATCACCCAATGTGTGACAATTGAATACGTTCCAAACAGATCTTGCTCTGTCATATTCTTCATCGCTTATGTGTCGATCATTCAAGTTATCATAAAATTCTTCTTTAGATGGTAATTCCGTAACATCAAGTCTACTCAAATCATTCACAAAACTGTACGGAAATATACCCTTTTTTCTGATTAAACAAAATTTGTCATAGTCTGGAAAGTATTGTCGCGTTACTGTAAACTGATCATCTTTCAAATTATCCCCCAAATTTTGTAGCGATTCCGACATGAATCTGTAACTATCAATGAATCTCAATTTCAAGAATACATTCTTCAACTGCCCTTGTTTATTTGTATAGTTATCGACTAATAAATGTTTGGTGAACGAAATGTACTTCTCTTTCGTTTGAGGAATTACTCCCACCTTTTCACCTTTCTTGAATAACTCTTTTATGAATAAATGGCAGTCATATCCACTCAGATTATGGAAGATAATGGGAACGAAGAACGGAATTTTGAAATTAAGGTTGCAAATTGAGTGGGCGGCCCCAAATCTCTTTTTTCCAGTCAGATGACAATGGTCCTTTACCTTAACATCACCATTTTCAAATGGACATTCACAAATATTACAAATAGAGGCATTGGAAAACTCAATTTCTTCCTCAACTGTCAACTTATGCATTGGAACGATACGTTTCAAATATTTATTGTATATCTCCATCAAGTCATCTTCCAGTCTTGATATGAATATGTCGGAAGCATTTGTTCCTCTATATGTAACAAATTTTGTAACTGAATCATCGAATGAACATTTAACTATGTATGCAAATGAGTATGGGTCATGTTTGGAAGTTTTTGCTGTGAATGAATTGCTTGGATCTGGTTCACAAAGATTCATAGCTCTGAGTATTGATTCGAAATCAGCATATACAACGAATGGAACACGTAATTGCTTTTCGAAATTCTGGAATTTCAATATATTTTCTGGTACCATTTTACCGTACTTATTGAGTTTTGGATTACTAGTAGGTACAGTAGTATAAATATGATTGCAATCATGTGACTGATGTTGTAACAAAGATCTCTCATTCTCAAAGTATATCAAACAACCGTCACAAAAATAATATTTATGTTCATGGGATGAAATTTGGCTGGAGACTAATCTTGATAGATCTTTTATCCAACAGTAATGACTATTACCAAGATCATCTGTTATGAACAATAAGTTGATATGTTTTGCTAACCTTTTTCTAGAATAATGAAGAGGTCCAACAATCTCATACGTTAGCTTGTCACCATCATAAATCTTTTCCAGACCATAAACATTAATGGAACAATCATTCATAATCTCAAATTTGGATATATCACGCAATTTCATAGGAAACTCAATACCTTGCAATTTCAATACTGTCGAGAAGTATGGATAAGACGATGTACTGTTGACTCTGTCTGCTGCCGGATATAATGCTGAAGTAACGGCCCATGCAAAGCAATATTGGTCTGTATTGACAACATTCACTACAGCCTTCTTTCTTTCGATGAACTGAGGTAGTTTTATATGTGAACATCCTTTGAGTGGACTGTATTTGTTGATATTCACCTCCAGGAATAATATTTTCTCTAAGGCCCAACCTACGAAAATATTTCAATTATTTATATTGGTATGGATGGAAATATCTAAAAAACTATCAACTCACCAGAATCACGTTCTTCGAACTCTGTGGTTTGACTTATCATGATATCTTGAAACATATTCACAATGGCTTTCAGATCATTGGAACGAGCAACGATATGGTTAGGAGTATTAAATGATTTTATGTCGATCAAATCTTGAGTTTGGTGAATATATCGACCAAACAATTCCATATTAACCTTGACAATAGTATGCATTTCCAAAGCATTTTCGAGTAATGCAATCACTTTCTGCCGAACATTATCGAAAAATATCTTGTAATCCAAAGTGTCTGTATTAGAATCCACTCTATAGCTGATGATCCTACACTTGAAAGCGCCATTGATTACTTTCACTCCACTTGATAAATGGGTACATGAGTTTGTTTTGTGTTGCAATGTTCTTCTGTGAGTATTCATATCATCTTTGGATACCATGATGTTACAACAAATACATAGTTCCGTATTAGATGTCGAAGGCTGCAAATCCATTTTTGGTCTCTTTGGAGGAGTTGATGAGTCGTCCATTGCAGCTCGACAGAAAGTTTTTTCATGACGTCGTAAATTATCATTACGCGTAAAGATTTTACCACATCTTCTACATTCAAACATGATTCGAGTCTACCTTCACTATCAAATGAAATTTCTCGACTGACGTGTGAACTTTCAGTAAAGCCTATTTATAGGAATGAATAGAGGAGGGGATTCTCCCTCCCCATCCGAGCTCATCATGTATAATGGTTCTCTCCCCACTCTCATAAATAATGACCATACTTTAGTTTCGCTCTCCAGTTAGTCGGGTACCTCAACTCGACCTGATAAGATGCCTGCATTGATGCCATAGTTGACATGACGACAAGAGTTGATGTACTTGCACATCATAATAGGCGTATGGTTACTTAGTAACACCTTCTCAAGGTTATCATTGACAAAAAATCAACTTCAAGTTCAATACATACAATCGCGACATACTATGAACTCTTACCAAACTCAAGGTCATATGACTTAAACATTATCCATATTGGGAACAAGTACCTTCGACCTTGGCAAGCCTCAGACTCTGGTATTTAGGATGATGAATGCTATAATTACTAGATACATGCATGCACTCACCAACTATATATTATTGCAGCAAAATACACTCACATTACACTCAAGGTCATCTGACTTATTCCCGGAATGAAATAAAACAAGTACCCTCGACCTTGGTCGGTCTCAGCCTCTGGTAATTAGAATTGTAATTGCGATAATTACCCTTCAAATGACCTTTAGAGGCTGTAGAACCGGCCAAGAATCACTACTGGTGAAACATATTTCAATTGTTTTGTTAAAGGGATTCTGGACAAATAGATATTAATAAAATAGATATAATCAATTCATTCCCTACATTTTACGTACTGTATATAGTTCAAGGAACTTTTCTCCTCAAAATATTTCGGAATCCGTATTTGAAGTTTAACGACCTTATTCTGAATAATCCTGTATAGTCTTCTATAATTTGAGTTCATGAGTGAGAATATTATCACGCCTACTTTTGGGGGAGCTCAATACTACAGGGTGGTGTCTAGATAAGAGCCAGAATTCTTGATTCAGTTTTAATTGACTTGTCTGTCAGATGGTAAATTAACAAGTGAAGTACATTTCTAACATCATGTTTTACATAAGTTTACAAGTAACATAATCATGACACCCCTCCGTACCCCGTACGCCGGTGCTAAGTCAGCATAGACGTCGTCGCTGGTTCTAGGCAAAGTCGTGTGGCATAGGCAGTGGCGTTCGCGTGGCAGTGGCATAGGCAGTGGCGTCCGCGACAATATAATAATATTGATGGTCCTCAATTCCCATAGTTTGTTATACTACCTCACATGTGGATTGGAATGATACACAGGAAAAAAAAGTTTTGTTGCACCAACAAAATAATATTAGTCATTCTTTTTTTGTTGAATTAAACAAAATTTTGCGAAGTCAACAAAATATTTGTTTATTCCAAATGAGCACAAATTCAAAGAGACAACATGATTTAATTGAAATATTCCCTAACTTGAACAAAAGTTTCATTCCATTCAACAACACATATAGTTGACATAAAACAAATTTTGTTGATTAAACTATTATCCCATTTTTCAATCAATCATATGCATTTTGTTTATTCGACAAAATTGAATTAATTTTGAAAAATGTTTAACTGAATACAACATCATCATATTTTGTTGAGTCAACAATCATATCATTGTGCAACCAATGAAAGGTTTTTTCTATTCGACAAAATTGAATTGATTATGACAACATAATATTTTGTTGATTCAACAAATCATTATCAAGGAATATGTTGTTATTTCAATAAATTTACTTTGTTGAACAAAACCCACAAATACATTATATCAAAAAAATATTTTGTTGAATGATTATCTATGTGCATTTTTGCCACCAGGTGGCGTTTTTTCCAACCTTCCTACGTTTGCCTCGATTGGGGTGTACATATACCCACCTAGAACATCCGTTTATATAATTATATTAGGATGTCCTAGGATCTTTTATGAAGCTTATACAAGATAATAGTATTAAATCAACTGAGGAAATTGATCTCTAATTTCTCTTAATTTTGAAATTCAGTTATGATTGAATTTTTTTTTCAATATTATTCAGCAAAATATTTTGTCAATTTTAAATACAATTTGGTTGATCGAAGAATATATATTGTTATTTCAACATATTCACTCTCTGGAAAACTGAAAATTATTTCACTTGAATGAAATGATATCATCATTTCAATCAACAGAATCGTTATAAGAGCAGATATTGTATTATAGGAACAAAATAGTCTTTGTTTATTCAACCAATTCCTGCTGTTAATTTGAATCATTTATGAGTTACATCAAATGAATTCTGAATTCAGAACTGACAAAAAACTTTCGTTGCGGTGACAAAACATTTTGTCGTGGATATATGACACTCAGATTTTGTTGAATTTACAAAAATCTTGTAGTTTCTAACAATTTTTTTTTCTGTTTATGAAAATTCATGAAACAATAATTCAAGAAGTCGACTCTTGATTTTTCGAAATCTTTTGCAGTTACTCGTGAGAGCTCATCATTTCTGTCCAAAATACGTCCAACAATACAATGAAGCACAGAACTCCACAGAAGTCCAGACTTTCCTGAGGAACCACAAGGATTCCATGGAATACATTTCGAATCATACCGGGATGAAAATGGAAACGATATACGATGGTTTTTTCTTGTATCAGACTCTACTTGCGGAAGACAAGATGAATTTGACTCTGCCGGAATGGACGAAAAAAGTATATCCAGAGATACTTTCCAAATTTGCTCTGGAAAGGTGCATTCTAGAGAATTTCACGCCTGACATGAAGAAGTTGCAAGGAGGTAATTAGAATAATTCATTTTCTTGCCCTTCTAACAAAATAAACAGGACAAATTCTCACCTAATATTCAGACGGATATGTAGAATACTTTTTTCCGAATGTCGAGGGAAGCGCTATTCAAAATACCATATTTTTGCCTCAAAATTAGGTCATCGTTGCAGGAGATTCAAGAGAAAAATTTTCTCATAATTTTTTGATGGTTCATTTTTTTGTCCATGGACAATCATGTATTTGTGATAAGGTGGTTATTATACTATTTATGTCAAAAACAAAGCAAAATACGAAAACACTATGGGTGGTGAAAAAGTTGCTGTATAAGTTTATGACTACGTAAAGAACATTGAACTCACAAAACCAGTCAGCGGCGTAACTTTTTTGGTCAATAATTTTGGCCAAGGGCCCCGTCTCCAGACGCAACCAGACTTGATTTTTTTCATTGATGACTAAATAAGCAACTCATAACTATCAATAATGTCATCAGATTCCGACGAAATAAGGTGAAATAGTTATCATCGTTATTATCTGCTGCATGCGCCCCATGTTCTTCATTTTCAATCTCACAAGTATTGTATAAGCTATCAAAAGTAACCAAGTGTGAATTATCAGGATGAATAAAAAAAACCAGTAATCTGTATATTGTGGTTTCATCCTTCATAATATTCAAAAATATTATTCTTTCTGGGACGGAAAAAAAGTTTGGCATTTCATCTCTGTTGGCAGGTTATGAAATGTCACTTCTCATGAATTACTTTTTGCCAGTAGAAAAAAAGTGAGTACTCTTTTCCCGGATATAAATCACATATATATTAACTGTTGATGGCTTTTGTTGTGCTATAGTTTCGAAAGATGAGTCGATAATACCGTCTACGAGAAAGAACTACAAGTCCTTTCATCATCCATTCGACTTCGCGGTTACGAATATTACTAAACAACCGCTAAATTCGCAATTTTTTGAAATCAAATCACAGAATTGGACTGACAGAAGTGACATCAGATATTTGATTACTCCAAAAGAATGATGAAGATGCCTACAACGCAGGTGTCCCTACTGTTAAAAACTATTTCTAGAAAAAGTTTTCAGTTAAATATTCGAGAACACACTCTTATTATTTCATTCTTTACTCCTCTCCAGTTTGATCAACCATAAAATCATGTTCTATCATTTTTTCGAAACACCATTCATTTTCTACTTCCTTTTAGTTCGGTAGTTTACCTCTTGAGATCTTACTACTATTTATTTTCTTTTGTCATCAGATCGGCTATTTATGGTTTCTTAGAACACTATTCACTACATAGCTCTTTCGACATATTGAATTCTCTAATTATGGCGGAGGAATCATAATCTCCGACCCCGAAAACCCCTAAGATACAAATCTTGAATAAAATTGGATCAGAATTAGAAAACTCGTTCACCATATTGGGTCTGCCATCTTGAATTCTCAAATTTTGAGGAGGAATCATAATATCCGTTTCCAAGAACCCCTATAGATACCAATTTTGAATAGAATCGAGACCTAATAATGAAACTCGTCTGCTATCCGCCATCTCGAATCTCAAAATTTCGAGGAAATAACCATTTTGTTCCCAAACATCCTCAGACTAGAATTTTGAATAAAATTAGAGCATAATTATAAAAGTCGTTCGTCATATCGAATTCGCCATCTTGAATTCAACAATTTCGACAAAGGAATAATAATCTATACGACAAAAATTTTATTCAATGATAATAGATGAGATATTGTTTATTCCAAATTGGAAGAAGAGTACCTAGTAGTATAATGGAGAAATATCTTTCGTTTCTCTTGAACAATTATTTTTTCAGGAAGAATTTGGCAGCAGATTTTGAAGAACATGATATCAAAATCGAAGAACGAACTTCAACCCGAGAGGAGGAAGATCATTTTATATTCTGGACACGATTATGTCGTTTATAATACATTGGTTGCTCTGAATTTGACTGAACCACATTTTCCAGAATACAGTGCTGCAGTTATCATTGAACTTCATCGTATAGAAGGCGATGAATATGGAATCAAGGTAAAAACATAATTGAACAAGATCTGAGATATTATATTTAGTTCATTGAAAAGGATTGTGGATCTTCCACTCTAGTACAAGGTTGGTAGAAATGATGATTTATTTGTGGAGGAAGGTTGCCACGACCAGAAAACGCGGTGAGAGGTAGTGGTGATTTGTAACGTTATCGCATCCTAAATAACATGTTGGGATCATAAAGAAAAGTATTTTTAATCCTAGATCACAGCTGGATAGGTGACAATACCAAGACAGCTGTAGAATTAAGATTTCTATGACCCCGAAATGGAACTTTCGATTAAATAATAATAATTTTATTGCAATAATATATATATAAGAACAATGAGTCACATTGAGTTTGGTTTCAACATGTAAAATTTCATTGAAAGATATACCTATAATGTTCCTTTGCAACAGGCGAGAACCCAAAGAAACCATGGACGGTTGTATATGGGTATGAAAAAAATTACAATATAATGAATTATTAGTGTTTGATGGAACAGTAGCTAAACTGTGATATTGTTAACAGATACATCAGTAGTTTCTGCACAAGCAGAGAATCATGAAAGCGTATAGCATAAAAGTTTAATAATTGATCTTGTTAAAACTGCTGCTATATGTTTGAATTCAATACTTTATTGAATAACTTATAACATATAATAATGCTGTCATCTAATATCTGACAAGACAATCAATAATGAAATAATTGGATTGTATAATATACTGAGCCACCCAACACCTCCCTCTCGTAATATGAAATCTCCGAAGTGACTTGGAAGTCTTCTTTCTCTTGTAGGTCTACATGACTCGCGCTCTTTACTAACACTAGATCCAGATGCCATGATAATGTTCTCTTCTGAATTCTCTTGATGAGTGAGATCGGCAGGTGCTATTGTTTCTGATGGTGTATTAGGCTTCTTGATTCCGAATGAATCCAAAAGTATTGAGAATGGTAGTTGATTTTGAGAGTTCTCATCATCCTTGATTTGAGTGAAACGGGGTTTCAATTGATTGACATGAGGTCTGATCAACTGATTTCTCTTAAATTCTTCCATCAAGACATTATACATCACCTTCCCCATCTTTTCTATGATTTTACCAGGCTTCCATGTAAAATCATTTCCATGATGTATTTTACAAAAAACTTCGTCACCATTATTGAAAACTCTCATTTTTGATCCTTGTGTTCTGTTATGTAGATCCGAATTTTTGTTTGAGGAATTGTTTTCACAAGGTGGGAAAAGTAGGTCGAATGTTGTTCTAGGTTTTCTTCCTAACATTATTTCTGAAGGTGATTTTTCAGCTGGTGTATTTCTGTTTGGGGTAAGTCTATATGTAGACAAAAATATTTGAATCTGCTGACTCAACAATGGTACTCCTGGTTTGATTTTTCTAATTGCTCGTTTGAAAGTATCAACGAAACGCTCGGCTTGGCCATTCGATTGTGGAAAATATGGCGCCGTCTTTAGGTGTTGGATACCATTTTGAACACAAAATGATTCGAAATTTTCGCTTGTGAATTGAGTTCCATTGTCTGTAACGATAACTAGTGGAATTCCAAATCTTGCGAAAACTTCTTCTAGTATTTTCAGAGTGTATGCAGTAGTCGTAGTTCTAGTATTGAACACTTCTGGCCATTTCGAATATGCGTCCACGATTATAATGAAATATTCACCATCAAGTGGACCAGCATAGTCTATGTGAAGTCTTTCCCAAGGACCATTAGGAATAGGCCATGATGATAACGGTACCTTGTTTGGCGATTTTGATGCTAGTGCACAACTTGAACACTTTCTAACAAAATCTTGAATGTCTTGATCTATATTGGGCCAGTAGACATAACTCCTCGCAATGGATTTCATCCGATCTTGACCTGGATGACCCTTATGGAGCTGTTGCAGTATTCTTTGCTGAAATACTTTCGGAATTATTACTCTGTTCCCAAACATCAAACAGCCTTGAATCACAGACAATGACTGCCTCCTTGAATAGAATGGCAAAATCCTGTCTGAGATTTCACTTCGTTTTGGCCAAATTCCTTCCTCGATGTATTTCAAAACTTCTTGTAAGTTTTGATTCTTCGCTGTTTCATGCAAGATCATTTTGTGAGTTACTGGGAAATGCTCTATTGCTGAACTCAGAGTATGAAATACATCAGCTTCCAAGTTGAGAACCGAAATTATATATTCTTCATCTTCTTGGCTTGCATCAGTATTGATCAGTCGAGAAAGTATGTCTGCATAACCAAAATCATCTGTTTTGATGTACTGAATATCAAAATCATATGCCTTCAAAATTAGTGCCCACCGTTGTAAACGGTTTGCTGTGTAGGAAGGTATTCCTTTCTTGGATCCAAATATTGCTAACAATGGTTTATGATCAGTCTGAAGGGTGAACTTCCTACCATAGATCATACGATGAAACTTTTGTACAGCATATATAAGCCCAAGACCTTCCCTCTCGATTTGACTATACTTTTGTTCGGTATCAGTCAATTTCCTCGAAATATGATACACTGCCTTTCTTGAACCATCTTCAAATTCATGGTAGATACATGCACCGATACCAATACTAGATGCATCAGCAGCTACGACAATCTTCAGAAGTGGATTGTAGTGGGTGAGCAGGAGATCTGATTGAAGAACTTCCTTGAATTTATCGAATGAATTCTGACATTCTTTGGTCCATTCCCATTGGCAATCCTTCTTCAACAAATTATCTAATGGATGTCGTAAGTCATGAATGTTTTTGATGAATTTACCATAATAATTTATGGCTCCCAGGTAAGAACGCAATGTCGTTATGTTGTTCGGTGGTGGCATACGAATAATGGCTTCTGTTTTGGCGGGATCTGGTTGCAATCCGTCCTTATTGATGATGTTTCCCAAATATTTGATTTCATCAACATTGAATCTACACTTTTGAATGCGTAGATGGAAACAAAATTCGTTGATGCGTCGAAGTACATTCATCAGGTTATTTTGATGTTCCACTTTTGTTTTACCACAAACAATGATGTCGTCAATGTAAGCGGCAGTTCCTTCCAATCCTGCAATCATCGTGTCCATTATTTGCTGAAAAACTCCGGGTGCGATCTTGATTCCGAAAGGTAATCGATTGTAGGAGAATAATCCACGATGTGTGTTGATTGTCAAGTACTTTCTGGAGTCTTCATGAACATCCACCTGTAGAAATGCATCCGACAAATCTATAACACTGAATGTTTTGCTATTATTCAGTTCAGCAAATATGTCTTCTGGAATTGGGAGTGGATACCGATGTGGCTGTAGAGCATCATTGAGTCCTGTAGAATAATCGCCGCATATTCGAATATTTCCATTGGATTTCTTTGTAACAACAATTGGTGCAGCCCATTCAGAAAATTCCACAGGTGAAATGATATTCAATCTATGAAGTCGCTCTAATTCTTCTTCAACTGAATGCATAGTTGCATATGCCACTGGACGTTTCGGACGAAATACTGGTCTCACTCCATGGATAACATTTAGTTTCACTTGATATTTAGTACAAAATCCCAAAGAATCGCTGAAAACATTCGGAAATTGTTTTTCAATATCTTGAACATTCAGTATGTGAGGAAAAGTCAGGCATCTTTCACGTGGAACATCATTGACAAACTGATTTTCTTCTGACACTGACAAATTATTGACTGAACTGTTGTCATTGCAGATAGAACTGAGTGGTATATCCCATAAACCAAATTTGTTTATCCAGTCTATGCCCAGTAAATCTAAATTGTGAATCCTGGTTATGAAACACTTGCCATGATGAGATTGATTGGCAAATCTCATAGTACAATATAATTCTGACATCAATTCCAAATCTTCTCCAGAAGCAGTTTTGGCAATACTTTGAGTTTTTTGGTATTCAGGTTGTCCCAGTCTGTTCCATGTGTCTTCGGAAATGATAGTGATGTCTGAAGCAGTGTCCACTTGCAAATTGACCGGTATATCATTGATTTGGACTTTGAGGTACCTACGCTCAGTTAATTGATTAACCTGGCTTATGATATTTGTCTTGAAAGAATTGTTTTTCTTTGCTTTCCTCACATTGCAATACCCTTCTTTGTGTCCGATTCTGTGACAATCTCGACATTTATGATTTTTGAAGGAACAATCTTTCGAAAAATGCATGAGACCACAGAACCAACATGGAGTTTTTGGAACAGTCTTATTAGAATCTTGATTTGAAATAGGATGGGAACCCTTCTTGAAGTTGTTGAACTTGTGCTTTCTTGAAATTGCATGCACATTCGATGAACTTGGGTTTCCAACCATATCTGTGTCTTTTTTGATATTCAATATACGCTGACATTCAGTTGTTAGATCCTGGAGAGTACATGTTTCTGCGTCTTTTCCATCTACTTTTGAAAGTAGTTTTGTTCTAACATCAGCGTCTGAACCTGATTGAAGACCACAAATAAATATGAGACACTTGAATTCGTCAGCACTAATGTCTCGTATTTTGAAATCTTCACAAAATCTGTTCACTTTCGCTGCATAGGCCATATAATCTTCTTCAATAGATTTTTGCAACTTCATACAGTGATAGCGTATATTGAAAATTGAATTCTTTGAACCAAACATAGATTTCAATTTTTGTACAGTAGTTTCAAAATTGATCTCTTTCGATTCTTGTGGTAGAATTATGTTGATATACTGCTGATGACACTGGGTATTCAGTTTTCTTAGAAGAAGTCGTACCTTAGCTGCATCTGAAAGCTTGTGAGCATCCTCTGTGAACACACTTTCGAATCGTTTGTACCAATTTTCGAATGTAATATTGTTATCCGGATCATGATGGAATTCTGAAATGCCATTGCTCAAAGTCTCCATGCGAATTTCTTCACTGATTTCCTGGCTTTTGATACCGGGATTATCTGAAAAGCTCTTTGAGAACTGAAGAAGAAATTCCTGTTGGTTTTTCATTAGTTGCTCTTGCTGTTTCTGAGCTTGAATTTGTTGAGACTTTATGAATTCCATTATAGATTTTTGGAATGCTTCGGTCATGATGATTGTCCAATATCCTCGTCGCCACTGTTAAAACTGCTGCTATATGTTTAAATTCAATACTTTATTGAATAACTTATAACATATAATAATGCTGTCATCTAATATCTGACAAGACAATCAATAATGAAATAATTGAATTGTATAATATACTGAGCCACCCAACAGCTGTAAATATAAAACTATACAAATATAAAAGTATAAGAATGTAAAGATATATAGAATGTATAAATATCAAAGTGTGAAAATGTAGGGAAGCAGAAAAGTAGGGAAGCAAAAATGGAAAAAAAGGTATGAATGAATGAATGAATGAGGGAAACTTCAACCACGGGGATCAGGTTGAATTATTTTCTGTATTTCTCTACGGTCAGATTGAAGTATGTACGATTTGAAATATTTTTTAAACATTTCTAGGCTATTTATTTTCAGAAGATAATTTTTATAAGTTTTTATAATATATTATATTTCAACACGACTCACTACATACCTCACCGCGTTTTGCTGATCGAGGCAACCTCCCTCTACAAATAATCATCAATTCTACCATTTATGCTCGAGTTCTCAGATAGTGCAATGTGTCAGTAGAGTGAGTTACTTGTAATACAACTTCGCAACGTTGTAGATGTAGGGGTCTGCACGTGCTCACTATGGATGGCAGCGTCATACAGTGTTTTCGTGATCTCAGCAGGGACCTACCTTAGAAATATATTATGTAGCCATACTGACGAATTTGTTTTGTGCGGTTCCTCCGCAATTTCAGCATGAAATTATGAATCCTCAAAGGAATTAGCGTGAAGAGGTTGTTTTTGTTCAACTTCGCTAGGAAGCAACGTAATATTACTTCACGTCATGAAAATTCATAATGAATTCACAAAAATTTGAAACTTGTGCGTAGGACATGAAACACGTCTACAATGTTTGTTTGAAAATATGAAATATTTATGCAATAAGTGACAGGGACTTTTTAAATCTATTTGATTATAAAAAATACTAAATTTATCATTTTTTCCACTGTGGCTTACTGACGATTCATAGCTTGAGGAGCACGGAGAATTCTTGAAATTGGTTTAATCTAATTCAATTCGCAGCCCCTTTTGTTCTGAGTAGGAGTTGTTCCCGCGTGTCCACTCCAGTGGCGTACACCTTCTGTCTCTCATTTCACGAATCTGTCACATGTGATTATTTTCTGCCAATCATAGTGGCCGTGTTTCATAGCCTACACAAAGATTTCTGGATTTTGTAATTTCAGTATGAATTTTCGTGACATGTGAAGTAATTTCCAAATCGATTTCACTCGAGAACGGTGCTTCCTATCTTATAATTCTGTTATTAACAGTTTCGAAAAAATAAAATAAAAACTTTCTCCAGGGGACCACCTTTATGAGATTCTAACTCGCTCCTGAAACATTATCCGCCCTATGTTTATGGAACTTTCTTCTCATTTCTGATCGTTGAATCTGTTAGTGAAGTATTGCACCCTAACTATGAGACACCCTGTATAAGCACGTTACATGTACCTTCATAATCATTCCAAAATAAGTGTCGTAGAGGTAACTCTACCAGTCGTAGAGGTAGAGGTAATCTGACACTTGAAAAATCTTTAGTCCAATATTTTCATCGAGTTCTTCATTCAGACGATGGATGTTAGATTAGAAATATCGTCGATCACTATCAAAGGGTATCTACTTATCTATTATTATAACCAGTTTTAAGGCTTGAATATGAATATATTATTTGATTGGTTTTTATTTTTCAGATCCTCTATTCTAGATCAAGAGAAAGTGAAATCGAAGTACTGAAATTGAAAAACTGCAAGGAAATATGTCCTCTGAAAGACTTTCTTACATTGACGAAGCCATTGATTCCAGGAAATTATACTGCAGAATGCGATTCGAACATTGATCTGGATTCTAGATTGCGATGATGTAGAGATGATAATGATTGCTTATCGTATTAGTATTTTTGCACTGCTTTCAGAACTGAATTCCCGAGGGACTAAAATGTATGCAAAAACCATATCGCTAAGTGAAAACACATTATTGAACTCGTATTGTCAAAGTGGACTATTGTGATTGGGATGCTAAAATAATTATAGTGTGTTTACTTTCCACTCTAGTTTCATTCAGCCTATCTCGATGGATCAAGGGCATACTTTGAAATTCCGCATGTAGTAGGCGAAATTTCGATTTTGTCATCAAAGAATATCATATACAGGGTGTTTCATTACTGATTGGGAATATTTCAACCATCGAATCCCGAACTCAAAATATGAAGATGCAAACCAAACCACCTAGATGAAAAATGTCTGCTGTCTGAGTTACAGGATGTTTTATTCACAAATTTTGAAATGTTTTTTGCCCAGTTCTTCGAAACCATTCGACGTATTACTTTCATATCTGGAGGGAAGTGTAGGTATTATACATCCAACTGAATTATGTGAAATGAACTTTTCTAGCTATCACCAGAGGCGTACGACAGGGGCAAGTGACTGGTTGATCCTTCCCAAATTCTACGCCACTGGCGAAATTGCAATTCCATCAGAATTATTCGATTCTTCAATACCTTCTTCGTAAATATTGTACTCATTCTCCATAGCGATAAAGTCATTATTTTTCGAGATATTTCAAGTGAAGCAGCACAATTACTTTGATTTTAATGTGTATCAATAATGTCGATATTTTGGATCAATGGACTGCATTCATCGATCAAATCAAACTTCAATCCATATTTACATAAAAACATAACAGACGAAAGCTGTTACAGGGCGTTTTAATTTTTTTTATATATTACATAAATAAACACCCTGTAACAGCTCCTGTCTGTTATGTAATTATGTTTTCATTATTATTATGGATTAGAGTTTCATTTTATTGATGAATAGAATCCATTGATCCAAAATATTGACAAAATTAATGCACATTGAAATCAAAATGATTGTGCAGATTCATGTTCAACTTGAAATATCTCGGAAAATAATGACCTCATCGCCATGGAGAAGGAGTACAATATCAACGTGAAAACTGTTGGAGAATCGAAAATTTGTGATAGAACTGCAATTCCACCAGTGGCGTAGAATTTGGGAGGGATCAACCAATTAATTGCCCCTGTCGTACGCCTCTGGTGATAGCTAGAGAAGTTCATTCCACATAATTCAGTTGAGTGTATAATACCTACACTGCCCTCCAAATATGACAACATTTCAAATCTTTTTAATAAAACACCCTGTAACTCAGTCAGGAGACATAAAACACCCTGTATTCAACACTGTCAACCATTCTTATCTTCTCAAAGTGACAAACTGTTCAAAATTCATTGATGAGTGTCGCTTTCGCTAGTTCTTATGTGAAATTGTGGACTGTATAAAATTGGTATCCAAGTAGAAAAATTAATGTCATTATTGCCTCCTTTGGTATACAGACAGAAATAAGAAATTATTGAAGCTATAATAATTCGTTAAGTCAATCTGACAACACTTGATCATTCATTAAACAAAAACCTATCTCACAAAGAAGCCGAATCGTTTTTTACAACAAGGAGAAGTTGATCAGAGAAACACAATATACTGAGGAACTATCGTTCCTTTCTGATTCCAACAACCTTCCCACCGGCTTGATTGATTCTATCTGAACGAAATGGAAGAGGATACAATTTTGTAATCGGTCTAACAAAATTCCCGGTCATTGTACGACCTTTAACAACTCAAACCTCTTCATCAGATCCTGGCATTACCTCCATAATACGAGCTGATCGCCATTCAAGAGGTGGAAGATTATCTTCCTTCACTAAAATCAAATCATTTACTTCCAAATTCTGGAATACTTTGGACCATTTTGGTTCATTTTGAAGTCTATTCAGGTATTCTATGGACCAACGTTTCCAAAATTGTTGTCTCATTCTTTGATAACTTTCCCATGCTTTCAGTATATTGTCAGGAACGTTGGGAATATCAACTTCCGGGAAAGACAATGATTATTCTTCTATCAAAAAATGACTTGATGTCAGACACAACTAATCTTCTGGAACTGTTGAAATAGGAGACAGGGGTCTAGAGTTTAGTATGGCCTCGATTTGACATAAAAGAATTGTTTGAGGTGGAATTCAGTAGATTTGATACTAGCCTTTCATAATCCACCCCAGTGTGGACTATTGGGGAGTGTGAACTTCCATCGTATTTTCTTGGTTGATAAAAAATCTTCAAGATAAAATTTTCCGTTTCCCGAGAGATATCTTGAATTTGTCTCAATGAGTTATCAGCACCCTGAAAGTTAGCCGAGCAATAAACCTTCTGAGAGTAAAAAGAAACGCTTCTGTTTATAGACAAGGAAAAAGTTCTATGTGAACTGCCTTAGTAGCTATACAAACAAACAACGGAATAAAGGCCTTAACAGCTAATGGAACCCCCAAAGTCAACCCCTACCTTGGGAAAAGGACGTACAATCGCAAGTCTATCAGAGGGTAGTGAACCCACTTTTACTAGAGTCCCTGTATGTATTTGACACTTTTGCTGTAATACAAAACTGACAAATATATACAGGGAATTATACATACAGGGACTCTAACTTTTACAAGTAACGCAATTTTTCACTTCCCATTTGATTGTTCTCAATCCATTTTTTGGCCAAAATTTCAATCTGAGATGAGAAAGCATGGTTTGTGACGATATGAAGAGGACCATTAGAATAACACTTCACCTTTGAACAATTATTCACGAATCGTAAACAATAAGCTATTGTGCGTTCAAGTCGACGGAATTTCGAAAATTTAAAGAATATTTCCATTGCTCCTGAAAATTCATTCTGAGGAACTAAAGTTATCAACCTTTGTTCAGGAATAAATTCCATTTCTATGGAAGAAAAAGTTGCAAGCTCCAACCTGTATTCATTCAAAAATTCTGGTCCGTACCACCATTGCTGACAAGATATCAAAGTGATCGAGTTCAAACCACGGGAAATATGATCAGCAGGATTTTCCTCAGAAGGAACATGTTGCCATTCAACATTGGGAGTAAGCTCCTGTATCTCTGAAACACGATTACATACAAATGTGGTCCATTTAGTAGGTGCATCCTGTAACCAACATAAAACAATTGAAAAGTCGAACCACAAAACAATTTTCGAGAACTTGATATAAGGAATAATTGAAATCAATTCATGACATAACTCTGCCATGAGTGCGTCACTGGATTCTGCGTAGAATTCACCAAAAAATGAGATTTTGATTTGAGATTCTTGCTGAGAATCTTCGTAGATATGGAGGAGGTACAAAAAGTATAAATTTTCAAAATCGCCCTGTATCTCATTAACGGAAACAGAAATGCAAAATCTGATGAAATCATCTTGAGTTCCATAAGAAAATGGCACAGGACCGAGAAAACCGACAGGTTCTATCTCCAATGATAACTGAGATATCACGGAAATGCATCGAAAACTGGACAAACTGTACAGTCTTATTCAATAAAAAAGCGTACGTGTGTTGAAACGAGAGGTTTATGGCATCCTAGTTCTAGTTGTATTAAACTGGCTCAGCCAATGCTTTTTGTTTTTGAGAACCTATGACAACTTTACTGTCAACATTTGGTGAACAAATCA